TATGTCATAATCTTCACGCCCGATTTTAATCTCAATTCCCAATGGCTCATGTTCTTGTTTGAAGATGAGTATGAGGTTTTCTTGGTGATTTACAAGCTTCATATCACAATAGGTTTCTTTAACTTCTACATTCTTGAGAACCGTCCATTCATTTTCTAACCATCGTAAACATGTATATGTCTGTCCACAGAGGAGATAAAAGAAATCCTTATACCTGACCACACATGACACAAATGTCAAGTGTTTTGTGCATGCTCAACCATTTTGTTGTCGTAGGAAAAAATAAAATAGACCCCTTAACCTTAAAAAAGCCTCTAAATTTTCGACGAAAAAAACATTTATGAAAGAGACTCTTAATTTTCTTGGCGATTTACAAGCTTCATATCACAATATGTTTCTTTAACTTCTACATTCTTGAGAACCGTCCACTCATTTTCTAACCATCGTAGACATGTATATGTCTGTCCACAGAGGAGATAAAAGAAATCCTTATACCTGATCACACATGACTCAAATGTCAAGTGTTTTGTGCATGCTCAACCATTTTGTTGTCTCTTAGGAAAAAATAAAATAACCCCTTAACCTAAAAAATTCTTAATTTTCGACGAAAAAAACATTTATCAAAAGCAGAAAACTAAATGCTTAATATATTATCATGCTCAAAAAATGATTAAAGTCATCATATATAGTTGTTTGACTCCGTTACAAAACGATCATTCAACTTACAAATGTTATTTATACTAAAATATTTTTCTTCAGAATTTATCTTTCCACAAATATATAAATTTCCTTTGCAATTGAACAGGCGTCACAGCTCTATTTTATCTGTCTTGATATCCAAATAAAGATTCAATTATTGTGCAATCTAAATTTCAAATGCCAAAAAAGGATTTCACATGTATTTAGGAATAGAAATTTAAACTGCCAAAAACATACCTAGTAACTAAAAGTTTATTTTAGCAATATCAAGACGATCAATACTCACAAAACAACAAACACTATATATATATATATATATATCTATCTAATAATTGGGGTAAAATATGACACTTCATGCTCTCATTTGTTAAAAGGTATTTTGAATGGAATTTGGTTTAAGTTTGAGTTTGATGTTTTTAATTAAAATTTGTTAAGATTTTATATAATTTAACATATTTGGATTTCTTTAAACAATATAAAAACTGAAATGATGATAAAAAAAAATAGATTCAGATCTTCCATATTAAAGCTAGGTAGTCCATCACATAGTTAGAATTACCTAAAACAAATAGACTGAGATCTTCCATATCAAACCTGGTAATGGGGAATTCAATCTCGTCTATAAATAGACAATATACCATCAGGACTACCTAAAGGGTGATCATTCTTTGGTATCCAAACTCCTAGGTGAATCATATATCCCTTATGTAAAAATTAAGGGTTAAGGTATTTTTGAATGAGTTTTATTTTAAGTTTGGGTTTGAATTTTTTTTATTAAAATTTGTTAGATTCTTATAGAATTTTATATATTTGTTTTTTTAAATAGTATAAAACTGAAATGATGATAAGTATGAATCTTTTTTCTGAGAGCATGACAAAAGTATTTTTTACCCCAATGAAATAATCTACTTTATTATATTAGATTTCACATAAAATAAGTTCCAAAGAACATATATGATTCTTTTAAGTTTAGCATTTATTTTTTATATCCCATCAATAACCTTGAAAATAAAATCGTTTGGAAACTAAAAAATATTCTAACAAACAAAAGTAAGAATTTTGTGAAATATTAAAATTTGTTTAAAAAATTCAAATCAACTATTTTGATACTAGGTTAATTAGTTTTCATATATGATAATACTTGTAAATAGTAACAATAATTTCATATTATCTATTTATATGTCTTCAAATACTTTAGTTATAATAAATAACATCGGGTAAGTCATTAGTTCTTAAGAATGATATAAAGAAAGAAAAGTAATTTAATTTATGAAACAAATATATAACTAAGATAGTAAATAACATCACTTTATTTACTCCAATCAAACTGTAAGTTGTTATTTTAAAAAAGCTATGTTACTTATCGTTATAGTTAAACAAAATACAAACTGAAAAAGTAAATAATTATAGAGGGTGATTGGTTGGGTTGTAAGTGATGACTTTAGCTTTAATTTCTATCTACAACCATTTAAATCACCAATCATGCTTTAAGTAGATTTTAAAGCTAAAGTCAAAAAATTGGAAAAGTGGTTGTAGGAACCCTATTTTCTAAAGCAAAAAGTTATTGCTGTAGGATTGTTGTAGGAATATCTTTCCTTTTATATTTTTTTTTTCATTTAATTTCTACAGCTACAGTAGATCCAACTACATCAACAACATCTACAGTCTAAATTCTACAGTAAAACTTTTAAATCTACAGTTCAACCAATCACCCCCATATTTAAGCATCTACTATTGTTAGACAAGTATAATTTCTAAAAGGAATAGTAAAATAGTTAAAATTGTCGTAAAAATTATAATCGTTAATGCTACTTTTTAGTTAAACAAATTAAACGTTTCAAATAATTATGTAGTAATAGTTTATTTACTCTCCCGTTTGTAGAGCAGATTCATCCTAGTAGAACAATAAACTTCTTTTGGGTCATATGTAAACATTAATTAAAATTCTAAAGTTGAGAACTTAGATAAATTGAACAATAACGATAATGATGTCAATATGGTTCCATCAAGAGACTCACAAATGCAAGCAATTATAAATGAAATATTCTTTGATTGGAAAAGAATATTCCTAAATCGTTTTTAATTACTATGTTATTTTTTTTTATAACACTAAGAGAATACAAAGTTCGTCGAAACGAAAAAATGATATAAAAGACATAAAAAAGACAAAGAAATAAGATGTCAGAAGACACCATCAAAGAGGGAAAAGAGGAGTTTACAAACCCTTTCTTACACTGCCTCCAAAGCGAGTAAGTGATGAAGCCACGATGGAGCATTCCGAGCGATATACGACTGGTGGCGCTTATCTCGAGTGATGGAGAAAGCAATAGCCGCTGCTGCTTCGTTTCTTTGTGGAAGAACATGATCCAAACTCCATGAATCTATTCTTGTCAAAAGCCAAAGGATACTGTGACAAACCGTTATGCATATGTAGTTTGAGTGAAGATTGAGTTCAAACCGCAAATGTTTCTTCAAGCTTCCTTGTAGCAGGTAGCAATAACTTGTCATTGAAAGGAAGTTTCAATATACCCTGAAAACACAACCTTAAAATCCGAAGAACACACTACACAGTTTCATATTGATAACATCAAAACATTTAAAAGGATCTCCAATAGAAAATGTAATTTCCAAATCAGAAAGATTCTTATTTTAAGCAAATGGTGAAACAGAGAATCATGGTTTCATTACTTGCATCAACTTATCCTCTGGAGATATTGAACATGATTGATGATCTCATTGAGCATCAAGGGAGGAAGCTAAATTTAGGTTCTGAGAGCATGTTTTGGTATCATGTGTATACAGCAGAGAGGTCTGGAAAGTTATCCTCTTACGCCTTGAATCTTTGATCCAGTTCGCAATCTATTTTCCTCATGGGCAGAGCTCATATCATGGTTGAGGCAAGGCTCATCAGTTGTATCTAAAACGCTAAGGTGTATGGTTGCTCAAGCTGCGATTTTTCACCTATGGCATCAACACAACAACGTTCTTCACAACCAGCATTCAATACCGGTGAAAAGTTTCTTTTTAGTCCACCAAAGATACCCCACAAGTCTCAAATTCCGTTACACGCAGTCTTCCGATCTGTGACATCAACACCAAACCAAGGAGTACAAAGTTACAGAAATTAGATACAACGCCAGACACACATAATGATCATGCATTCGATCCCACTCAAATTTTCCCCACAATCAAGTAAAATTGAAAAAAGCAAAGCTTGAAAAAAAAGAGAGAGAGAGAGAGAGAGAGAGAGAGAGAGAGTTGCACGCATACCTGCATCACTTAAACTAACGACATCAGACTACTAAGAACCTTTATAGTCGCCAGCCACAGAGCCAAAAGAAGGGTTTCGGTGAATTGGACTGCGATCAGATCCGAAATAGACCAGTCTCCTTTTTTTCCAGAATTATTGGTTAGGATTTAAGAAGATTTTTTTAAAAATGTAAGAATTATCCGAAATCTGACAGCTAAACAGTCACTCAAATCAATTTCACACATCAGTCAACCAATACAGAGGTACACGCCAATACAGACTCCTAAACAGTCTAGGATGATCCGGTATGGAGAGAAAAAGAGAACAAACACTCAAATCTGACAGCTTGGTGAAAGTTAAATACAAATTATTTGGACACCTTCAAGAAAACAAAAACATAATGAGATTGATCTCGTAAAAAGTCCTAAAGGGTCCAACATGACATACATCCGACAACCAAATACAGAGCTAGAAACGGATCTAAAGAACTCATGAACAATCCTTTTTTTTTTGCAAATCAATGTAAGACTTTTTGATCCTTGAAACCGATCTGAACAAACACTCAATCTGACAGCTTGTAATATGGATGACGCTACACTTCTGCCTTTTAAAAATATTCAGATTCACACACATCAAAATCAATGTTCCTACTATTACGCTTTTCACAAAGAGGATCATAACATAAAGAGGAAAAGACCTAATCAAATAAAAATTAGCAGAGACAGGAATCTTACATAAGAATTGATGAATAACAGATCAATGAAGCAATCTCCACCCCACGCCTCATACGACAAAGAGTCGTCGCCTGTTTCTGTGTGAAGAGAAGGCCATACAAAAAAAAAAAAAAAAAAAAAGGCCCAGACGAATTTGGCCCAAATCAATTGCTGACGTGGACTTTCCAGCCTAGATGCCGACGTGACAGTGCTAAAAAGGAGTGATGCTCTTCTTTATATAATAGATTATTATTCTTCCTTTTGTTCTAACTAAACTCCATTTAGTTTTTATTTTGTTCTTATGGTTATATTCTGATTTCTCTTTCCGTATAGTTACACTTAGCAAATTTCTCTCCAATTTAAAATTCAATATCTTCATCTACAGAGATAAATACATGGACTTGGTAGTATGAAATATGGGAAGAGTATACACAAATACAAAATCATAAACTCTGGTTTGGAAGTAACAAGTGACGTGCGACAGTTTGTTCTAGGAGCTTAAGAAAGACTTTTGGCTTGGAAGCTCTTACAAAAGCGCTGCCTCAGCCTAGACCCCCATCATTCACAGACCTTCCTAGCACGTTTAAAGCCGCTACACGTTGCATCTCCCTCGCTGTCAACACAGTATTTTGTTAATACCAAAAAAGTCTCCAATTCAAATGGTTCCTCCTAGCTTACAAACCTAGCTAAAAGATTGCAACAGAATTCAAGTGTAACAAATAAAAGAATTGACTTGACGTTTGCTGGCTAAACCATTCATCCGTGATAAAATCAGTAATAGTTATAACTACTTTGGTTTATTCAATCAGATTTCATTAGAGTTACCTTCCTCGAGAGAGAGCTGAATAGACCTCTTTTCCAAGTCAACAGCATGCTTGCTAAGCTCTGCTGAGGATTGTGACCAAAGCACTTAACACATATACAAGTCAGAATTAGAGTTTTTTTTTTCTTTTTTAAAAAAGAGTAAAATTTAAGGTGAGTATTGGACTCTCACTGTGTAGATGAGGATCCGTCTGATCAGATTCGTTAAGCTTGTTTAAATTCATTTGAAGATGATGGTAACGCTCTTCCCAGGCCGGAGGTGGTACTGCGGATGATGAGCTGACCTTGGGCTGCTGCTTACTCAGATTGTCTTTTGATGTGTCAGTCTCCACTTTTCTGCGCACATATACATTTGTGGTGGCTGGAGACTGAGATGGAGGAGGGCCTTTCTTCTCCGCGGCCTTAGATTCTTGTTCTTTTGGTGGAGTGCTTGTTCGTTGTTCTGCCTCCATTTTGCTTAAGACCTTCCTAATCAGAAATTTCTTCTTCTGTAAAAAGAGATAAAGTTGCTAAATAAGGTAACGTCAAGCGATCTAACCTGAGGGGAAACTGTTTCTATTTTTTTTTATTTTCTTTCAGCGGCGATAAGAATCGGTGAGTGGAGGAAGGAATCTTAACATCAATCAAAGAAGACAATGTTTACCTCTCAAGATCGAGAATCCCCTTTTTACTATCAGCCAGTTCTTGAGCTTGCTTCTTCTAGCCGAAATGTGCCAGACGCGTTTTCATTTAGGACAGTACTCAAGTATCTCATTTGTTAATGAGCCTAATATAAGGCCCAATTCGTCTATTTATTTCTGTATATAATAAGGTGGTGCAAATTGAAACTCAGGTTGTATAATACAGTTTTTGTTAGATTAGTTAAGTAATGACTTCTGTTATACTTTCAAGGTTAACGTGTGAATATTTCTATGATATTTTTGTTAGGTGTATTACACAGAATATGTATTCTCTAAAATTTACTTCTATGAAAATCTTCTAAAGTAACTATAGTTGTCTAAATGCGTTGGTGCATCAATGTTTTTTTGCATAAATTTCAATACAAATCCAAAGCATGTATCTTGTAGAATACTCACGTCTAGCAATATCAGCATATTGTATAAGCAAATAGTACCAATTATATTTTTAAAAGATCTCTATTTTCAAATAGTATGAATATCGTTGTACGAGGCATGGAATCCAAACTTATTATACACAATGTTGTCTCAGCATATTCATTTATTCGTCATCTCTATTTGGATCACAAGAGCTTCTTCCTTTAGCCTTTTGTCACAAAACGATTTTACAAGCCACCAAATATACCCTGAATCAACTGCACATCTTGCTAGCTCCTCTCAAAGACTGAATGATACATGCACCAAGCAACAATATATATGTTTTTAAGAAAAGTCATGAGTTCGTAATCAACAACAGTTATGCCTTCTAATCAAGAATATCACCTAAAGTATCTATTAAGAGTTTTTAATCCCATCTCATCTTAAACCTTGCCGTCTAACCCACAAAACGCTAGCACAGGCGACTTGTTAACCTCCTCCTGAATATAATGTGGCCATTTTAGTTGTCGTTCGATTCACTCGGCCAAGTATAAATAACTTAGGCCCATATTTCAGGCCCATTAGCGATCATATGAAGACGAGACGGAGGATAAAAGTGTCATCTTACCAATAAAGATATTTTTTGGTCCGAACGAGGATAAAAAAAATCTTTGTTTTCCAAAATGATGACATGATGTGGGCCTATCCCACTAACTCAATCAACCGCACATCTTAATCAGAGTGCCAATCACTCTGCAAACCCTAGAAAATATCTTTAACCCTAGTTATTACGTCAGCTCATCTTTCTATAAATTATAGCCGCTTCTTATCATCGTAACTCACAAGTCTCTCTCTCTCTCACTCACCTTCGAAACTTTAATTACTCCGTCAAAAAAAAAAAATGTCTGCAGAAGTTGAGTACCGGTGCTTCGTTGGTGGCCTCGCCTGGGCCACCGCTGATGCGGATCTAGAGAGGACGTTCTCACAATTCGGCGAAGTTATCGATTACAAGGTCCGTTTACACGAGAGATCGGGACTCACCGGATGGTTCTGATCCTCGACGGATCTGATTCCGATCTGTGTTTCTATGTTACTTGATTACTGTTACTAAAATGTTACTTTGTTACTGTTACTGTTACTTGATTTTGTCCCGAATCGGTACGTTAATCTTCATGGTTCTATGAGCTCGGAGAACGGTCGATTTTCTTGTAACGATTTTTTACTAATTATTGTGTTTTTTATTTTATTTTGACAGATCATTAATGATCGTGAGACTGGAAGGTCAAGGGGATTCGGATTCGTGACGTTCAAGGATGAGAAATCCATGAGGGATGCGATTGAAGAGATGAACGGGAAAGAGCTCGATGGACGTACTATCACCGTGAACGAGGCTCAGTCTAGAGGAAGCGGAGGCGGTGGAGGAGGCCGTGGCGGCGGCGGTGGTTACAACAGAGGAGGCGGTGGTGGAGGATACGGTGGAGGCGGTGGTGGTTACGGAGGAGGTGGTGGTGGATATGGTGAAAGACGTAGCGGAGGTTATGGAGGAGGCCGTGGTGGCGGTGGATACGGTGGTGGTGGAAGACGTGATGGAGGTGGTTATGGAGGTGGTGATGGTGGATACGGAGGAAACAGCGGTGGAGGTGGTGGCGGATGGTAATGAAAGATGATTTGGTTGTCTGTTTCTCTGCTATGTGTTTGGTTTAAGATTTGGTTCCGTATCCTTGTTTCTCCGGTTTTGTATGGTTCTGGTTTTGTGGTTCTACTTTGATGTAACAGATCGTTTAAAAGTCAATCTTTGCCTACGACGAAATGATAATTCGCGTGATGTTCACTCAATTATTAACTTTTTTTTTTGTTAAACTCTAAATCATTAACTTGATTTTTAGTTTTTTTTCTGCATTATCGTATAAAATAACCAATCAGTCGCTATGATCTCACTTATCTCGATACACTACATCGATTGAATCGGTATTAGTGTTATGCCAATTATATGCTCAGCCGAATAATATCGCTGCACGATCTTTTTATTGGATCTTTTAGAAAGAAAAAGAAATAAAGATATATACGCCGAATATTCCCTTTTTCCACTATCACTTTTTTAGGTCGTGAAAGGTATCTTCAATTATTTGAAGTTGAATATATTTTTTCAACAATGTAAAAAAAAAAGAATATATATTTTCAACATACCCAAAAGGAGTAAATATAATATTGAACTAACATCTATTACTATAACTTATTTGAATCCAAATGTACAAACAAATGTGTCGTTAAAACGTTGCGTTTTTCTACTGTCAAAGAATGACTTTAAGAACTAATTGGGCCTTTTGAAGGGCCCAATAGAAAATTTAAATACAACAATTGGTACCATAATCAACGGCCCAGGAGCACTTCTCTCCCCACGTAAGACCAGCGCCGGCAGAAGCCTCTTTTTTTTGTCGGTCGGATTCGGTAAAAAACTCCTAGCATCCAGTTTCGGTTTCACACCACCCAACCAGACCGCAAGTTCTGACTAATAAAAAGTCTAACCAACGGGGTATAATTGTCATTTCAGCCTATTTTTCTCTCATAGAGTTTAGTGGTTCAAACTATTTTTACACAAAAGAAGAAACAACAGCGTTAAAATTCATTAAACTTAGGATCAAAATCTCCTTAAGCTGCATCTCTGAATCATCACGTTGTTACGCGCCACTAGTCTCTGAGTTTGTAAGAAAAAAAGAATGGCGAATAAGAGTAGCATCCTATTCATCGGAGGAACAGGTTACATAGGAAAGTATATAGTGGAAGCGAGCGCGAGATCTGGACATCCAACCCTTGTTCTCGTTCGAAACTCCACGTTCACTAGCCCCTCACGATCCACCACCATCGACAATTTCAAGAATCTCGGCGTTCGCTTTCTACTCGTTCGTATCCCTCTCTCTCTTTCCTTTGTGTGGTAGTTTAGAGTTTCGTGTTAATACACATGCGTTGCTGTGTAATAGGGAGATCTTAACGATCATACGAGTCTCGTGAATTCGATCAAGCAAGCTGATGTGGTGATATCCACCGTTGGACACACTCTCTTGGGTCAGCAAGACAAGATCCTCTCTGCCATTAAAGAAGCTGGTAACGTTAAGGTAACACTAAAAACAAACAAACATGTATATGTGTTTGTCGTTAAGGTAACACTAAAAACAAACAAACATGTATATGTGTTTGTCCTGTTCAAGAGTACAGAATAGTTTATACATAAGAAGAATAAGATTGAAAAATATATTATTTAGACAATATTGGTCTTTGTCTCCTCATTCATTCTACTATACTCTGAATAATGTTGTCTTAATATTTGTTTGGGGTTCGTGTTGTTGCTGATATGAACCATGTCCACATCAGAGATTCTTTCCCTCGGAGTTTGGAAATGATGTAGACCGTGCTGAGAGTGTTGAACCTGCAAAATCAACCTATACTACTAAGGCAATGTTCCGCAGGAGAATTGAGGCAGAAGGGATACCATACACTATTGTCTCTTGCAACTTCTTTGCTGGCTACTTCCTCCCTACTTTGGCGCAGCCTGGTGCTACTTCTCCTCCACGGGATAAAGTCATCATTATGGGTGATGGAACCCCCAAAGGTAAGTTAGGCAGACCCATTTCTTTTTTCTTTAAAATGTATCCAAAATCCTCAAAGAAGTAGCAACTAATGATCACTAGCTTAGATGGTCTTTGTTAGAACTTGACAGTTTCTTGTCTGTTTACCTTTTTTTTCTTTTTCGTGTGTGTTAAATTTTGCAGCTGTGTTCAACAAGGAAGAAGACATAGGGACTTACACAATCAAGGCCGTAGATGATCCAAGAACCTTAAACAAGATCTTATACGTCAGGCCACCCATGAACACTTACTCATTCAACGATCTTGTCTCTCTTTGGGAGAAGAAGATTGGGAAAACACTCGAAAGAATCCACGTTCCAGATGAACAAATCCTCAAACAGATAACAGGTTTTGATCCTGAAAATACACCTTCTTCTTCCTCCAGTTTTCTTTATGTGTGTCCATTGATGGTATTTTTTTGTTTACTTTGCAGAAGCTTCGCCTCCACTGAACGTGTTGCTATCACTTTGTCATTGCGTATTCGTGAAAGGAGGACAAACAAACTTTGAAATAGAACCTTCCTTTGGTGTAGAAGCTTCTGAGCTTTACCCTGATGTCAAATACACCACTGTTGATGAAATCCTCGACAACTACGTCTAAAAGGAGCAAGCAGTAGCTTTTAACTAAAGTCACTCCATGACTCTTTCCATTATATTTCTGAATAATTTTGGGTTAAGTATTACCTTTCTACTTCTCCACTCCAGTATGATGAATCAATTAAACTGAACTTGTTGTACCTATTTACACTGTAAACCTTTGGACCGGTTTTTTATTGTTGTAATAAATTTCTTTGTATATTTTGCGACTGAAACACCTACTGATGGAAATTTTTTTTTTGTATAATAAAGAAGTTTGCAAACATTCGGAAGTTCACAGGATCATGCAATGTTTAGACTTTAGACCACTGCCTTACACACTACCCATAAGAAGAGGCAGGAATAGCCAACGTAGTAGTCAAGGTTTGGGGAGAATTCTTTTTAAAAAAGAGCAACAGAACAAATTATATAACCATAGAAGTGGCATACTGCAACGAACAATTTCACTGCTAAACTAAAACAAATTTTAGTACCCTTTTTTTTTCCCTCTAAATCCTTCCCTTGTAGCTGCATAGTTTTTTTTTTTGTCAATGTAAAGATAGTCCAAAATGATATTCTAAAAACAAATGTTCTGACCAACATTCATAAAAATTGGTCAGATCAGTCCGCACGTGGGCCACTCCCGCTGCTCCGTCCACCATATTTCTGCCACAGAAAACCAAGGAAAGTCGTCCATTAGGAATGTATAACCAAGCCAAAAACAAACAAAGACTTATGCAGTATCTCAATAATGAATGAAATATTTTAACATGCACTACTAGGAGACAGATTGAGAAGTTTAACAAGACGTATTTTACCTGTTTGCCGAAGCTAAAAGGGATGTACTTGTACTTGATCATGTGAGAGATCTGGCGTCTCATGGTGAGAACAAAGAGAACGATCCAATAGCAAAGCAGGATTGGCCAGAACACAGGCACATCAAACACCGAAAAGAATGTCATCATAAACGCAATGCAGAACGCCTTTGTCATCGAATACCTGAAAAAATCACAATAATGCAAGTAAGATTGATACAAGAAACCATATTAGTAGTGAATCTATTATATCTACCATTATCAGTAATGAAAGAAAGCCTCCCTCCCGCATATTACTGATTCTATATCCATTTATCAGTGGTGGAAGAAAGCCTCTAATAATTATAATTTTGACAAGTCACTTTACAGAACAAATCAAATTTCCAAGTTAAGACTGAACAAGAAAACATATCCTTATTATTGATGATTCTATACAATCTACCAATATCAGAAAGCCTCTAAGAACTGTCAATGATTCTATATCTCCTCTAATGAAATTTGACAAGTGGTTTATTTTTTTACCAGAACTTGAACTCAGGGAGACGGCGAATGAAAGGCTTGAACTCATCAGACCCTCTAGTAGGAAGAGAAGGTCCATCAGAACCCCCAGCAGCCTCAGGATCAACAAGAGGTGACAAGAACCCAATAAGCAGATTCAAAAGGTAGATTCCAAGACCATAAGCGATAATATAGAACCCCTGAATATAGTAAACCCTCAAACAGTAGGCAAGAGCCACAACAAGAGTCCCAATCCACCTGTAAGTAGCGTGAGGCGTAGTCTTGTCAAGGTAATGCTGGTAGATCCTCCACGCCTCATGCGCTTTCTGTTGAACAGGTGTTGCCACTGAACCACCACTATCACCTCCGCCTCCGTCCATCTGATGTGATACTTGAAACCTAGTTAAGAGTATCAAACAAACAACCAGTTTGGGTGGTCAAGTTCACACCAACAACCAGTAGTTTCAACAAATTCTCGCTTGTATAGTAGAAAGCACAATATGATTATGAATGTTCGCTTTAATTAGCTATGCACCTTATCCACATAAACCGTAAGAGCACAGAGCACATAACAGGATTTAAACGAAGATCTCAGAGCGTAAAATACCATTGAATATCTATCTCTTATGAATGTTAGCTTTAATAACTATGCATCATAACAAGCTTTCAAGGAAGATCTGATCCAAAATCGGTTCGAAACGCAGAATCTCAATGTATCTATCTCTTAGCTAATTGATCTCAGAGAAACAAAATTCTAGTGAACTAATCTTTCTCTCATCCATCGTTCAAATCTACTCAGAATCGGTCGATTTCAGATCTGGAAACTCAATTCGGTGAAATTTAAAACGTAGAGGCACATGATAGGAACCCTAGGTATCGATCGAGGCAGTGAAAATAACATCTGAGATCACGAATTGGGAGATTGCGAGGAAGAAGGAAAGCACTTACGGAAGAAGATGAGCAGATCTGACGAAAGACGCAACAGACGAAATGAAGCATGAATTTTTTTGATCCGCGTTTTTATTTTCTTTTATTTATTTTTGTTGGGTCTTTTATTTATGTGTACGTATGAATGCACCGATAAAAGTTACTCTTTATCTGATTTGACCCAAACAATTTATCGACTTCAGTTTAACCCCTTGAGTATTTACGCTATAACCACCGACACAGGTAATCACCAATGTTTTTACCGGACCCTGAACCGAACAACTTACTGGATCATTAGGTCATTGGTTTGATCACAGGTTAAACATAGATTAATAAATAAAAATTTATTATATAATAATATATTAGCTATGAAAATAAAAAAATATAGAAACTAAAATTAAAATATTTTAATGTTTTTAAAACATAAAAATATATATATATATAAAATATCAAAAACTAGTTTAGACTATTTATTTTTTCTTATAACAAGTTAAGAGGAATAATATCTACAAAAATCAAGATATAAAATTCATAAATATTTAAATGTCTAATAAGAATAATAAATTAAATTTACATCAAAAATAAAATAAAAATAAAACCTCATTGTAATAAATTATCAATAATAAAAATAAACTAACACAAAATCACATCAATTAATATTGGTTCTCATTACCACCCTACAATTTATTTTCTTCAGGTGACATAATAAAATCTTCATCAAAATCTAAAAATCACAAATAAAATAATGTAGTAGGTATCATGTATGATAAAAAATCAGAAAATTTAATCTAAATTTAAAGAAGAAGACGGCAATGCCAATAACTAAAACGTGAAAATCTAACTTTTAAATTAGAAATTTAGATTATAAAACAGAATAAAAACATAATTTAAAACTAAAAAAAAATTAAAAGTGTATTTATTGGTTCAACTAGTGGTTCAACCGGTATCAAATTTTGGATATTAATGGGTTTTTCTGAGGTTTTACAGGTATTAAATTTTGGTATTTTAACAAAACTCGAATCAGATTTACTTTTGATCACTAAGTTTATCAGTTAAACCGCGGGTCTGAAATCACCTATTCCATCAATTTCAGAAAAATTGACCAATTGTTAAATAGAATGGAATGGCCATTCCATCAATTCTAAAATTAAATAGATAAATTACAAAGAAAATGATCCCACATAGAAAATGATAAGGAATGAATGGATTATGGAATAAATCTATTCTCTGCATTCATGTTATTCCATTAATTTTCGTTCCTTTAATTCCTAAACATGTAAACCGGTTACAGCCTTCAATTTAACCAACACACCACAACTACAAATGAACTCACAAGTCAATTTTAACACTCGAGTTAAATAAGTCGATAGCTTAATTAATTTGACAATCGTTTCCAGTGATAACATTCTTATTGAAAAGCTTAGACATTCTTTTGTTTATAAGTTTTTATATGTACCCCGAATTCCAAATCATGACTTAAAAATTGTGAAGCAAGCAAAGGTCGAATAGAGAGAACTAAAAACGCCAAATGGTTGGATTATAATTGCAATGCATTGTTCAAAATAGCCATATGTATCTCAAAACAAGATTCTAACGAGTTACTGAATAACCAACAAAAAGGAGATAAATAAAAAACAAAGGCACGGCTAAGCCGGATCAAAAACCAAAGACATTCTTAGGTGTTGGTGGCACGAGTGTAGATCTGCTGGCTCGAGTGAGCAGCGACCATCCTTATCACACCCTTGGCCATTAGCTCCCTAATCGCCCTCCTTGCTAGAGACCCATTAATCTGCAAATTTTTCAACATTATTCAATACATATCACAAGTCATAATATTTACTTTTGAAGTTTTAGACATGAACTAATTTAATTTTGAGATATGAAACAGTAAAGACAAGAAGTAAATGGATATACCCTCATACGGTCGGAGAGGATGGAAGGGGTGATGAGCTTGAACTTGGGAGCTTCAGTGAGAAGCTTGTCGTAAGTAGCCTGATCAAACAACACCATGTTGTTCACCTTCTCCTTTTGCTTTCCCTTGCTCCACTTCTGTTTTTTTTTTTTAAACAGATAACTTAATTAAGCAAAATGAAAAATCCAATGCTAATCAACAACAACTATACCAATTCGCAAAACATGTCTTTTCACATTGCTAAAAGCTAAACTCAGTTATCACAGTTCAGACAGATCTACATTTATTACACATTCTATTAAAACCTCAGTTCTGTCCTAAACATATATCGAAGTGAGCATAAAATCATGAGCAAAATTGAGAGGAAAACGAACCTTCTTCTTCTGCTTTCCACCTCCGGATTTCGCCGGCTTTGATGAAGGTGGGGGAACCTTGTCCTTCTTTGGCGCCTGTAATAACAAACACGAAAATAACGATTCAGACAAGAGAAGGTAGAAACACAGATCTGATTAGAGAGACAGAAGGAAGAAACATTGAGATACCATGTTGACTTCGACGGAGACGGAGGAGCGAACGGCGAATTAGAGTTGGTTAAAATGCTGAGGAGGAGGCTAAGGTGGAGATCGAATTAGGGTTTGCTCTTATAATCTCTAGGGCTTCTGAGGTTTCAGCTTAATGTGTCTACGGGCCGTTCTAAATTAAAAAAAGCCCATATGATGGTACTAATTTTTGTTCAGTTGAAGCCCGTTCAAATACTGCTTTTCGGTTCAACTGAAGCCATAAAATATTTGGTGGTTTTACAATTACATAAAAAGAGAGAATGAACCATTCGTTTCAAAGTGAGAAGCAAGTGAAATGCTTAAGACTTACAAGTGATGCAAAGCATGTATTCTGCTGCTTCACAGAATCTGATTAGTTAACTCTTTGTTCTGCACTATCAAGTTTTCTGCTGTTGGACTTATACAAAAAAAAAAAACTAGAGTAGCAAGATTACTAAATCCTCTTAAATGCTATTCCTTGACAAGGATCTTGGTCAAAAAGTTGGTTCAAGAGGTGGTCTCTAAAAACACAAAGCAGCTCCAGCAGTAGCTGCAGTACGGCAGTGGGATTAAAGTTGAGGTCAAGGAGAATATTTAAAGGTCCAAAGTTTCTGATAACTGAACTTTACGCAAGCATCCGACAACTTATTACCTTCGTTTCGGTAGAAAACAGATTATTACCTTGATACCTTCGTTTCTTGCGTGAACAAAAAAAACTTGCTTTCTTACAAAGGATTGAGTTGTATTCCTTCAATGTAATAGATGTTTTGGTTATATTCACATCTTTTCTTTGTTTTCCGCATAACGGATTTAACACTTCCTATATCAGTTTACATAATGAAAGACATCCATCCGACCTTAGCTCAGTTGGTAGAGCGGAAGACTGTAGTAGTTGCTGTAATCTTTAGGTCGCTGGTTCGATTCCGGCAGGTCGGATTGTATTTTGTTCTTCTTTTTTTTTTTAGCTTTTATTGTGACAAGTGATCAACATATAGGCTTTCAGATGTGTACATGATGCGATCGCGTGTGGGATTGTTACATGTATTATACATTTTTGTAAAAAGGAAATGAAAAATTTTTAAATTAATTTTATGTATCTGAGTATATCTAACTCAACTTGAACTTTACATCTTGTTCCATTCTTCCCCCTTAAAATTGTTTTTTCTAGCCTTACAAATAAAAATATTAATGGTTTTGAGTAATTTCATCAATTTGTTTATGTCTTAAATGGTATTAAAAGGACAAGTTACAATAATCCGATCAAAATCGGAAGACACGTTTCACTTGTGGATGTTATCCATAACGAAGACAAACCAATAATGAATTCTCATTTCAACTTTTTGAGAAAGAAACTGAAGCTTTTGTCAAAGTGTATCCAATAATGAAAAAAATGAAATTTGAAATCACGAGACCACATCTTGTATTACTTACTATTTATGCTTTTTGTTAGAAAGGGACGAGACACTAAAGAAACAACAGCAAAGGATTGTTGACCTACAAGCTATTTCTCCATCTCTTAATGAAGAAGTAATTGTAATACATACATTCTCGATTTCCTTGCACAAAATATAATGAAATGTAATTATAGACAAATATTTAGTATAATATCTTTTAGAAGATATAAGAGTTAACCGAATTGAGACAAACAAATAGTATAAAATAACCCATATTAACCCAATAGTTTCCCAAAACATATTTCTTTAACATACCAAGCATTTAGAGTCGGTTCTATTGGTTTAAATCATATTTCAATATATCACCAACTGCTGCATTCAGCTTGGAAATTAGTCAGGTCTAAGGTTTGATTTATCTCACGGTTATTAAGAAAAAGCAAATTTCATAATTACTAAAAAAGGAGATTCATTACAATTTGTTCCACCACAGTAATAGTGGGCATGCTTTGTGGTTTGTACTGATCATTCAAGTCCTAACTACTTTTACAATAATGTTATACACATTAATAAATATGTGCTACAATAATATCACGGTAGCTGCTTTACTGGCTGAGTAAACTAATTACAAGTGGACAAAGTCACTAATATAGTGCGATGCTGCTTTTTTTTTAGTTTCAATCAGAAATAATACAAATATTGATCTTAATCTGATAGTTTCCAGCCTATTAATTACAGGAATTACTAGTATATCATGAATGGCGAGCTTCCGGATTTTCTTTTGTCAAGAATGAATTCGTAACTAGCACGTTCTTAAACTTCTTCTAGAGTTAGCCATCATTAGTGATCGTCTTAATCAATCATGCAAGGTTTTAAATTGCTTTCAGTAATATCCCTATATATTATTTGAGAAGCATTACAACATTCTTTGATAGCCACGTGTCAGTATGAGAATGCTTCTCAAATTTACTAGAGAAAAATGTTGGTCTATATAAACATATAATATACTTTTTATTAGCCTAAACATAAAACTATTATTAATGATATTCATTATTTCCTTAAATAAAATTTATGGAATTACCTAATATGGTTACAATATATATATATATATGACAATTAATTATTTGAATATGAAGATTTGATAAAAAAAATTATAGCATCTACTATTTTTGTTAAATTTAATTATAAAAATAAATTAAACAATAAAATTAACTATATAACAAAAAATTAGATTTTTACATATGTTATATTCAAAATTTTTGCAAACGACTATAAATTAATAAAGAATTGAAAATTTTCAATTATAATATTTTTGATTAATAGTTTAAATCTCCTATATGTCGGAGCATTACAACATTTTTTGGTAGCCACGTGTCACAATGAAAATGATTTTCATAACTCTTAGAGAAATATGTTGGTCCAACTAAACATATGTTTATTTTTATTATACCAACTATCATATTTAATTAGTAGTGTAGAAAAGAAGATTTTTTATTCTTTCCTTAAATAAAAGCTACGGAATTACCTAATATGATTAACATATATATCACAATTAATGTTTATGAATAATAAATATTTGATAACAATTTTTTATACTCTTTATGTTTTATTTAATTTATATTATTAAAAGAAATTAAAAAATCACATTAATTATATAATAAAAAATTTTATATTTGTTCTTATACGTTATATTTTAAATTTTTTAAAACGACCATAAATTACTTAAGATGGTAAAAATCTCACACTGAAATTTTGTGATCAATGGTAACGATTTTAGTTCAGCCAAACGTTTTTCTAATTAAACAATATATAATGATTAACTAAATGGATCACCCATAATAGAGTGTGTTTTGTTTAAATTTTTTGCATACCCAAAATCAATATGAACCATCATTCATTTCGTTTTAATTTTTGGTATAATAAAAAAAATATATGGTTGGACAAAAAAAAAACTAAATCCAAATAACCAAACCAAATCTAACCCAAAAATGAATACAAATTTTTAAGCAAAATTGGTTAGATATTCAAGAGAATTCGAAATTTTGGTATCTAGATAATCAAAACTGAATCGAAAAATTTCGGGTATCCGAGTGTACTCGAACCAGATTTATATTCTTAAATATATTAATTATTTTTAAATTTAACATCTAAGAATATACAAAACACATGAGATGTTTTAAAAAATTCTAAAATACTTAGAAATATGTAAAATAGTTAAATGAAAATTTTTAAAATAGCCAAACGATACTCTAAATACCGAAAATATTTGAAATATTTATTGATTTTTTGTCCAAATATTTATGATAAATCAATTTTAAGTTAATTTTAAGTATTTTGTCATTCATTTTTCAAATTTATGTTATCTATTATTTCTACTTTTAGGTTTTGAAAAACTTAAAGTATATATGAATTTTAATCTTTTTTATAAAATTAAATGGGTTATGCGAACTTAAACCCAATCTGAACCTGTAAAAATTCAAACCAAACCGCAATGATCTAAACCAATTATAATCTAACCGAAACAAATAGTACCCAAATGTCCATATTGATAGCAAAATATATACATTTAAATACAACATATTTTTAAAAAGCTCACTCCGCGCATGACGCGGATTATCATCTAGTCTTATATATTTTTTAACCACACAGCTTTAATCATATTATAAATAAATAAACATTATTATAGAGAATAATATCATTCGATACAAGACAAGGCTCTTTAACTAACAAAATCTTTAGGAGTTGCATACTTTCCATGATCAGTAGTATTTTATATCAAAGTTAATGAGTTAACATACTACAGCCTTGTTGGATTCATACAGTATCACATTTTTCGAACATACCTCTATTTTTATATCTATACTATTAAAGCAAGATCCTATTGTTAAAATTTTGGATTCTACCCTTAAATTTTTATCATATTTATAAGATAATACCACTATTTATTTTCAGAATCATAATTAACTAAACAATTTAATATCTCCTATATTTATGGTAACTGAAAATATTTCGGATTTTTGTGATTAATTATAATTTCCCTTTTATGAAAATTATGATTTTCTATTTAATTTTAATATCATATTTTCGTGCATCATATTATTTAGCGATCAAAAATTATAAATTATTATTTTCTGTGTCATTTTATCATAATAAGGATATGTCAATTCAATTTGTTTTAAAAATTAATTTTTAGATATAAAATGAGTAAAAATGTAAACTTATCATAGGTTATTAATAACGAAAAGAAACTAATATTGTTATATGAATAAATTTTGTTTTTTTTTTCTATTACCTTCGTTTCATTTTTTCAAATGACAAGAAAGTTTTTATTAAAGAAATTACAAAAATCAATTTTCTTTAATATTAAAAATATGAGTTATTTTTAAAAAATTAAAAATATATTATCAGTTTTTTATGGGATTATTTAACGGATCAACAAATATCATAATATAGATTAATAGCGAGTTTTAAGATATATACCAGGTTGGCTCAAATTTTTAATTAGTAAATTTTTAATTAAATCTTAACTGGATTATATAAAAATTGCCGAATGTACCGGTTCAACTATGGATCTGGGTATGATATGAAAAAATTACGTGAAAATCAAACATTATAATAGAATATTTTAAAATATTAATAAAACAACTTTTAAATTTTTGTGTTTGAATAATTAATTTAAATATATTTTATTAAAATGGGAAAAATTTATCCGCGCTTTTAAAGTACGGGTCAAAATCTAGTTATTATTATTTATACTATATATTCTTCTTATAATTACAAATAAACTAACATTTTAATTTTCTATTTGAAATTAAAATATGAAAACTCAGAGATAAAAGAAAGTCTCAATATATATACAAATATAGTTTTCATAACGTATCACCATAGTCTTTTTTCAAAAGAAAAAAGACATATCACCATAGTCCAGATATATTTGTTGTTGTTGTTTTTGTTGCTGTTGTTATATTTAGCAGTTAAATTCCATATTGATAAAAGCCCCATACAAAACCAATATTAATGTCGTATAAGTTTACAATAGTTTCTAAAAAAAAAGTTTTTCACAATTTAGAAACTTTACCTCATGAAGTTGTGTAGTAAAGTTGCCTGTCAAGAGAATTTCTACAACATTTAACATGTAAAGAACGTAAAAACTAAAATGTATGGTCAACCCCCGTTTTGTTGTAGAATGCACTGATGAGTGACCCAGTATAAATACTCCCATGGATCAAAGCTAAATCCTCTAAAAAAACAAAGTAAAAGAAAAAAAAAGAACAAAGAGAAAAACATATTCTTCTTACTCAATTTCTTTACAAAAATCTAAACTGAGAACACTTGGTCTCTTCTTCTCACAGAGATTTTTTTTTTTGTTTGGGTAAAATATCCTCATAGAGTTTTCAAGAAGCAAAAGCTCTAAATCTTCTGTTTCTAGTTTTTTTTTTGTGGTCTTCGGTAACTATCTCCTCAGTTCCTCACCAATGGATTCTTTCAACTCTCAGAAAACCAAATCAAGAAAGATAAAGAGGCTTACGAAAAAGTCTCGTGTTCAGATTATCTTGGATCTGTTCTACCGTGCGATCGAGATAGTTCTTGTTCTTGTCACAGTAGCTAAGCTCTGCTATCAGCTCGTTATCACGTTGCATGATTCTAGTGTCGCCGCGGTTATTCTCGCAAACCGTAATCTCGCGTTTGTTGTAGCAAACGCCATAGTTATCTCTCTAATCGCGAAATCCGGCGTTCTCTCGAACCAAGAAGCTGTAACGAAGTCCAAAAGCAACGCTCTTTACGAGGAGTTTGTTCACAAGAGCTCAAGGAGAAACAGAGTAAAACAGAGCGAAGCAGAGAACAAGGTTAAACAGAGTATAACCGAACAGAGTGAAGCAGGGGAAGAGAAACAGAGCATAACTGAGAGCATACCAAAACATAGCATTTCCGAGAAGAGAGAGACACGTAGCAAACATGAGAAGGTTACAAAACAGAGAACTTCAGTGAACAGAGAGAAACAAAGCATAGCTGAGCATCATGAGACAACTGTGAAGAAGATGGAGAAAGAGAAGAGGCAAAGTCAGAGTTACCAACGAAGCAGGTCGGAGAATCTGGAGGGTTTGGAGAAGACTACTTCATGTGGAAGTTTAAGGAGATCAGAGACGGATGCTTCTTCTGAGAGATTTGATTCTGATGAAGATGAACTCCGGTTTAAGATCGAGTCTTTCATTGCAAAGCAGAGGAGGAATCAAAACGATGATTAGCTTGGTTTGATTTAGATAAAACAAATATATTAAAAATAATAAAATATAGTTTTTGCAAATACCATTCACGTATAATGTGAGTGTTTGTTATATAAGGGTGAAAATATTTTTAATCCCTGGCATAAATTTTTGTTTATCCATTTTCTGTTGTATTTCTTTGTATAATATAACAAATTTTGAATATTTTTTGTTGTATCAACTTGGATTTTGAAGCATTCTATAAGACTACCCACAATGGGGGTGTTGAAACTTGTTTTCAACTGTTGAACCTCTTCCAATGAGGGTGTTGAAGTTTTGAGTAAACCTATGTGGCATCAACATGCGTTGATAAGTTTCAACAGCTGAAACTTCTTTTGTGTGGGACAGTTTTGCCACATGGCGTTATTGGATTGCGAGAAATTGTTGGACATGTTTTTTTGATTTTTAGTTTCACCTAATAATTCAACCGTATTTATTCTATAATATATTTTTTTAAAAAGATTAAAAATTATATCAAAATTTATATTTTTTTATGATCTATAGATAGAGACTAATCTCATTTCATTTGGATACAGAAAAAATATATTCATTTTTTCATTATAATCAATTATTGTAATGTTTTAAACTTTTACAAATTGTTTTCAATTGTTTTAATAATAATAAATTTAGTATTATTTTTAAGTTAAATACAATTGTTTTAATAATAATTTTTTTCATTTTTTCATTATAATCAACTATTTTAATGTTTTAAACTTTTAAAAATTGATTTCGCTAGTGTACACTCAGTACTTGTTGTACATGCGTTAGTGTATATTTGATAGTGTACACTCGTTAGTGTACACTCTTTATTGTATATTCAGTGTACACTCGCTATTTATATGTTATTTTAATTTTTAATTTAATTATTAATATGTAATTATTATATTGTAAAAAAATTAAATAATGTGAATTAAAAATTGTGGGGTATGATGTTGAATTTTTTAAAACAAACCATTGTAGAGGTTTAGAATGAAGTGGGTGTTGAATAAATGAGGTGGAAGAAAGAGAAAATGATGTGGAATGTAAAAAGAAGAAAATGAGGGTGTTGAAAGGGGGAAAGGTGTTGAAACCATTGTTGATGGTCTAATACATCCATTGTGAAAACAAAGATGATTTAGAGATCCAACAAAAAGATTGCAACTAGCTATCATGGCTATAATATATAGTTTCTTGATAAAATTTATAATTATTATGTCAGATGCTTCAGTATAGTTTAGTTTTTACCTAAAGATCGTCCCAATGCTCTCTTGCATTTTGTTGACTCTACTCCACACTCAATGAGATAATTTTCAGATTTACTAACTATCTACATTTTCAAGTGTTTTATACTTCATTGTTGAATGAAGTAACAATTATGGTTAAACCGATGATCGCAGACTTGGATCGATTATATGAACTCATGGATTCTACTCACCTAGGTTCATCTCGACTTAGGTCTTTAAGAGAGGAGCTTAAGAATCTGAGCAGAGAAATAGAAGAAGCTGAAAAGACTGAGGTAGACAAGGAGGAATCAGAGAAAGAAGTTGATACGGTCGAATACTGGAAGAAGAAGGTGTCACACTTGGAGAAATCACTGAAGAAGAGTAGAGAGAGCAAGCTGAGATTGGTTGAGAGTTTAAAGACTATGGAGACTCTCAAGACAGGTGAAGGTTTCTCTGTTGGATAAGCTTGAAGTTAGCTTGAGAAGCAAGCAACCTAATTCTATTGAGTTATAGAATAGGAAATTATCTATTTGTGTTTTACCTAATGAGTTTAGGAAATAGAGAATTATATATAAGGAGATGCTAAGGTGTAGCATAACTTATAAGTTTGTGATTGAGAGTTTGAGAACTTGAAGTTTTGAGTAAGTTTCCTCAAGAGATTAATAAGAGCATGTTTAACGGCGTCTCTTAAGACGTGTCTTAATGAAATTAAGAATTATAAAAAAAAGAAAAATAGCTATAAACCCAAACAACGTATCCCAATTAAGGGAAGAATGGAACGTATCTTAATTAACACGTGTGAAAATCTTATTGGGCGAAGGGAAGGTGTCGAGGTTCTTTTGTTATTTTCTTTCTCTCCCTCGGTGGCTCTCCGGAAACAGCGACTTCGGTGGCTCTCCTCGACACTATGCTCTTTCGTTCTATACGTCGTCTCTCTGCTATCGAAGTTAATCTGCCACTTGAGGATGGTAATTGATGGCTCTCCTCAAAGTTGGTGGCTCTCCTCAAAGTTGTTTTGGGAAAGCTTTTTCTGGTTTTATGGCAATACTTTTGAATGTTTTCCTCATTATGCCAACAGGTTTGGGTTCTGAACTGATTTTGAGGCTTGTACAAAAGGAAGTTGAAGGAAATCAACCCATCTCTCAGAAATCTTAGCTATGACATTGCTGATCTTTTGTAACTTTATGGATGGTTTTGCTGACATGAGCGCTTTGGTGTAAGTCCTGTCCTCTCTCTTTATTTTGATTTTCAGAAAGAGTGTTCTGATAAGTAGTGTATTTTTTCTCACACTTCATCGTTATTTTTACTTGATAAATCGTTGATCAATGTTTTGATAAGTAGTGTTCTAGTTCTTGATCAATATTTTTACTTTATATTTTTATTTTATTTTTAAGAACCTTAACTAAAAACTACCAATAAACCACTATAATTAAATGTCTCTTAACAATGTCTCTTATCTTAATTTTAATAGTAAAAAATTCACTAAGAACAACTTAAGGGTTTTACCTATAAACATGCTCTAAGATGAGTTTCTTATTTTGAGTTATTATCTTGTGTGCTTTTGAGATAGAGGTTCTAGATTCTCGAGTCTCATACTTGAGAACTCACCTTTTATCATGGGACATCAGGTAGATGATTGGTGGTAACTTCTGATGTGTGAGACTTTGTCTCTAATACTATTATTCTTGTATATCTTTATGTATGTCTTGTTTTAGGATCAAGATTTACGGTACATGTTCATATTCAACCAGCTTTTTAGTTTGAAGGAAAAGGTAGAGACAAATTATTTATTTTTCTTTTGAGTAATGATCATTTATTTGCATAAAACATAGTTCTCTGAGCATTTTATTATTTAACATTATGAGAGGACATTTTGGGGAAAACAGACTCTGAGATCTTCCATGGCAATGGGGTTAAAGAATTTGAAGATTTCAAGAGAGAGGTTCTTGAGAAGGGAAAAGCTTCAAAGAAAGAGTTCACATTTGAGACTGATTTATTCGGATCAAAGACGTTTCTGATCTTTGTTGAAACTGTTTACAACAAAACTGGCAAGAAAATGGGCATAAATTACATTGGAATGGATGTAACTGATCAAGTGAGTTTTTTTTAAAAAAAAACAGATAATGTTTGATGTTGATAAGTTATATGAAGTTCTTATTTTCTGACAGGTAAGGAAGAGGGAAAAAATGGCAAAACTTGGAGAAGATAAATGCAGTGAGAAAGGCAATGGAATCAAAACTTGGAAAGACCATTCACATTACAGGTTTTGAAGTGTGATTAGTGAAGGCATCAAATATTCATCAGACTGAATGGTTTTTGTTATATATTTAAGTGAATGTGAAAGGGTGCAAGTGTTTATTTGAACCATTGCAATTGTTTATGAACAATTACAACTACATAAATGAAACATTGCAACTCTTCATTAACCATTGCAACCATTAGTATTAACCATTGCATCTTTTGGATTAACCATTGCAACCATTGGTTGCAACCTTTCATTCTCTATATAAAGGGATGTAGGCATTGGCAAATGAGATAGAAAAAAATCAGAAACAAATAGTTAGTAAGAGAGTAAGAGAGAAATAGATTCATTGTTTAAAGATCAGCAAAGATCTTTGAAGAACACATATAAACACTAAAACTTCTTTTTGTTTCTCTTGTATCTTAACCTAGAACAAGAGTGAGACTTTGATTGTCTTATCCTACAAAGGGATTTCGTGTAACCCAAAGGTTTGGAATAGGGTCGAAATACTCTTTAAGGAAAGTGACCTCGTGCGCGATTCAATCATTATCCAAGTATATAAT